AAAACGTCCGCAGTGACTCCGATGTACCGGCTGGTGGATCGTTGTTGCGCGTGGACACTTCGGCTTGGTAGACTACGTTTGATGTGAGGCATTTACCTTCAGCTGGGCATTTTCCGGTAGTCTGCAGTTGCATTGTCGTTGTTTGCTTGTGTCGTTTGTGTTTGCGTTTGTCTGTTTTGTGTGTTTGTTCAGTATTTTCTTGTTGTGTTTGTTATGAATGAGCGCATGTTGTCAAGACAGCCGTAGCTGATTCGTACGTTATGTCGATTGAAAATTTTATGGAGTTGATTGGAAGGTGGGAAGTGTTTGTCTAACAGATGTAGGAATTGTTGTCCGATGTTCGTTTTTACGTTTTTCGAATAAGGAGGGTTATACCAGATTATATGGCGATGCCGTTTACGTTTTTGCGTTGTGTTGCTGCTGTCGATGTCTACGTTGTTGGTTGGTTGCTCGTACGTAAGTGTTGCGTCGTAGTTGCTTTGTCTCAGTGCGTTGTTGTACAATTGAGACGCAGCGTCAAAAGTTGTTTTGTCGCATGATAATTTGTTGATTCGCTTGTTGATGGATGATGGAAGTTGTCGTGTGATAGCGGGTGGGTGATTGGAAAGGCGGTTGATGTATAGTGGGTCGTCGTTGGGTTTTCTGTAGGGTTTGTATGTTCCGTTAGCCAAGTCAAGTGTGACGTCAAGAAAATTTACCCGCTTCAAGTTGGCCGTGGCGGTGATTTTTTTTTTTTTTTGTAAAAACGAACATCGGACAACAATTCCTACATCTGTTAGACAAACACTTCCCACCTTCCAATCAACTCCATAAAATTTTCAATCGACATAACGTACGAATCAGCTACGGCTGTCTTGACAACATGCGCTCATTCATAAACAAACACAACAAGAAAATACTGAACAAACACACAAAACAGACAAACGCAAACACAAACGACACAAGCAAACAACGACAATGCAACTGCAGACTACCGGAAAAATGCCCAGCTGAAGGTAAATGCCTCACATCAAACGTAGTCTACCAAGCCGAAGTGTCCACGCGCAACAACGATCCACCAGCCAGGTACATCGGAGTCACTGCGGACGTTTTCAAAACACGCTACCGAAATCACGCAAAATCTTTCGCGAATAACAAGTATGCCAAGGAGACGGAACTGTCGAAACACATATGGAAGCTGAAGGAAGCTAAGAAAGATTTTTCGATTTCATGGTCCCTACTGAAAACTGTCCCAGCCTACAAAGCCGGTTCAAGAAGATGCAACCTCTGCCTTGAGGAGAAACTCCATATCATGAAAGACAAAACTAGAACACTGCTGAACAAACGCTCTGAACTCTTTACGAAATGTAGACACGTAATTCGACACCTTATATCACGATGTAAATATAGAGAATAGCAACCAGACCTGCCATTAGCCTGATGATCGCTTTATAGCGTGAAACTCCGAGTAGCTAAGCTAGTCTTTCAATAAATATATATTATCGCTCTGCCATGCAGTAATGGTATTGAGCGCTCTCCAACCATTGTCAAGTTCTGTGATCTTTTTGTTACAGTCAATTATTTGGATATATATATATATATATATATATATATATATATATATATTTATATATATATATATATATATATATACCGGGTGGCGCAAAAAAAATTTTCCCCCTCTTAGACTTATCGTAATTAAAAAACTAATACAGATATCTTATTCAAATAAAGTTTGTTGAACGCTGTGATGTCTAACTTAAATTTTGATATATGTCTTGAACAATTCTGTAAAATATTAGTCGAGATCGAGCTGTTTAAAATAAAGGTGCATTTTTTGACGAAGCGAATAACATGACTAAATATCGCGACTCAACTAAGTTATTTTCAACTTCCGCGATAGGCGTTCTTTAAAGCGTTTTTTATGTTGTCTTTGCATGTTTAAAGATTCTTAGATTAAAGTATTCGAAGTATAAGTGTATTTGATGTTAAAATAATACTGTTCATCGTTCGAACAAGGAGTTGCAATGCACAAGGGAACGAAAGCAAAGGAGCTTGCCCGCTTTGTTATAAACATGCCTCGTTTAACGAGACAGCGACGAGTTTGGATTTGTTTGGAATATGCGAGGACTAAAAATGCAAAAGAAGTTTTACGTCGATGGCAAAATCATTGGAATAATATTCCATCTCTGAGCATAAAAACAGTGAGGATTTGCCAGACGAAGCTAATCAATATTTGTTCTTACTGTTGCGTGCTGTTTTCATTCTATTTTAGAACTTTTTTGCTCTCCCAGAAACGCTACCTTGAGTTTAAACGCCTATATCTTGGTTAATATTGTATAGAAATGTACAAGGCTTACATTAAAATTGAAGTTAAACACCACTCGACTCAATAGACGTTACTTGAAAATTATATCTTTTTTAGTTTTTAAATTAAATTAAGTCAAAGAGGAGGAACATTTTTTTGCGCCACCCGGTATATATATATATATATATATATATATATATATATATATATATATATATATATTTTTTTTTTTTTTTTTAAAGTAAAATCAATGAAATATTACAAAATATATATATGGATGAGTATAGAGATGTTAGATTGGGTAGGTCACACAACCAATGGCGTGAGGGACCCCTTTATATTGAGGGGTGGGGGAGTTGCTGGGGCAAATTTTGTCTTCCGAATTTTCCAATCGACTTATTCTACACCAACTGGTGTAGCGTTTTACCACCAGGGGCCTGTTGTATAAAAGACTAGTTAACTTCTAACTGTAGTTAAGGGCAGAAATCAGAGTCGTGTATTTCTGAGTTAACGAGGATTGAACTATGCAACGTGTAGTTAAATAGTTTTACACAATCGGCCCAGTTGTTTTGTTTTTCTTTTCCTGGAGAAATCTTTTTAGTGCAAATATCCATGGCTTGGGTACAGCGCAATAAACACAGCACGATCTGCCCTTCATCTATCTTGACGCTGCACGACCACCGCACATTTGGGGAGCACCCATTGGTAACACGGTTTCTCAAAGGCATATTTGAATTGAAACCCCCCCTGCCTCGATATACACACGTTTGGGACGTCGGCGTTGTTCTGAGACACTTTCAATCAACAGCCAACCCTCAAGCCATGAGCCTTGAAAAGCTTACGAAAAAGCTCACAACTTTACTCGCCCTAATTACAGCACAAAGGTGTCAAACTCTCGTAAAGCTTGATATTAATCACATGCAAAATTTGCCTGACAAAATCGTGTTTCATATACGAGAAAAACTAGGAAAGCACATTGAGCCTTTCGAGATCCTACCATACACACACGTCTGAGGGGAAATTATGTCCAAGACCAATAGTTACTTGTAAGCTACCACAAACCACATAAGGCGGTTAGTAATGCCACCATCGGACGCTGGGTAAAGAACACGTTAGCTACCCCGGGGATAGACACGGGAACATTCTCCTCTCATAGTAGCCGTTCGGCATCGACGTCTTGTGGGCTGAACTCCGGTATTCCGTTGAAAGAGATCCTTAAAGCTGGAGGGTGGACGAACGCCACTACCTTTGGCCGACATTATAACAAAACAATTGATAACAACTTTGGCCATGCAAGCTTTACTAGATCAGTTTGTAAATAATTAACTATCTCGCTAGTTCTACACTTACTGCCTATACGGATACGTCAATTACACAATGCACGATACACTCGTGTCTCTCCAAATAATGTTGTGTTGAATTTTGCTAGGTGCTCATTTAACGAGACTAACCTTAAGTCGATGTTTAATTGTAATTCTTTCTTGCTATCAGTCAGGAACGAAGGAGTAACATGCCCACCCAAATTATGTTTCATACCCAACCCGTTCTCCTTCGTTCCATGTGAGCACCAGCAAGGTCTTTGAAAAATGGCTATCGAAATGCGAGCGCGCTTCTTGTGAGCACCTAGCAAAATTCAACACAACATTATCTGGAGAGACACGAGTGTATCGTACATAGTGTAATTGACGTATCCGTAGGCAGTAAGTGTAGAACTAGCAAGATAATTAATTATTTACAAACTGATCTAGTAAAGCTTGGCCACAGTTGGTATCAATTGTTTTGTTATAATGTCGGCCAAAGGTAGTGGCGTTCGTCCACCCTCCAGCTTTAAGGAACTCTTTCAACGGAATGCCGGACTTCAGCCCACAAGACGTCGATGCCGAACGGCCACTATGAGCGGAGAATGTTCCCGTGTCTATCCCCGCGGTAGCTAACGTGTTCTTTACCCAGCGTCCGATAGTGGTATTACTAACCGCCTTATGTGGTTTGTGGTAGCTTAAAAGTAACTCTTGGTCTTCGTGAAGATTTTGGGTGCGGGAGATGTACTCTCGGATGTGTGCGACTGGACATAATTTCCCCTCAAACAGGTATGGTAGGAACTCGATAGGCTCAGTTTGACACCTTTGTGCTGTAATTAGGGCGAGTAAAGTTGTGAGCTTTTTCGTAAGCTTTTCAAGGTTCATGGCTTGAGGGTTGGCTTTTCATTGCAAGATTTCATTGGGCAGATTGGTAAAAATTTAAAAGAGTCGGTCAGTCATAGAGTAAACTTTCCGGGGGGTAGTCGTGGTTCATGTTTATGCATGGTCATTTTTTTAGTTAGATCATCAGTTTAACTTGTTCTATTTATTATAATTCTCTGTCCATTTTGCTAAGTTCACAAAAATATTCCGGAATGTTACTGTTACTGTAAATTGAAATATTGCTTTTCCGTGGTGTGGGTTTTGTTTTAAAGGAATTTAGTGCTGTCGCACGTCAATTCGCAGGGTTTGGTATGGAGATGAACTTTAATGGGAATGGATGCGACATAAGCCTATTGTGCACAACGTATACAAGATTTTCATTCCAATTATGTCTTTCTGATAAAATCACTTTCAAATATAGTATTGATTTGAGATTTCGATATTTAGAAGTTGAGAATATCCTTTTTAAACTGTAAATGTGTTCTTGCTTTTTTCTTCTCACTGTGGAATATTTATCGTGTTTTTTTTTAAAGATTGGCATTCCGATGCAGGCTTTTGTCGCCGACAAGAAATTCAGAATTGGCGATGGTGGATATTCAAGTGTCTATGTTGGTCTCATGAAGGATGGGACTGAAGTTGCTGTTAAGAAAATGATCGTACAAAAGTGTGATGAAATAGCTGAAAACGAAAGGAAAATTATGAATCTTATTAAAACATGCGACTCGCCATTTATAGTGAGTTATCGACATTTTCACCGTGACGATACCTTCATATATCTTATTCTTGATCTTTGCGAAGAAACCTTGAAGGAACTTGTTCATGCATCCAGTCTTGAACATCTACAAGAGCATGGTCCACGAATGATTAAGGAAATTCTAATCGGACTTGAATTTCTTCATGGTAAAGGAATATTGCACAGAGATCTAAAACCATCAAACGTCCTGGCTGATATCGAAGGTGGCATGAAATTGGCAGATTTTGGATTAAGCCGCGTTCTAAAAGACGATGAAACGACAGTTGAAACAGATGCTAAAGGCACTCACGGATGGATGCCAACAGAAGTAATTGAAGCAGTAGAGAAACAAGAAAAATGTCCTTTCAAAAAGAAATCAGATGTCCAGGTAGCGGGTATGATTGCTTTCTTCATCTTAACAAAAGGTGAACACCCTTTTGGATCTAGATTTGAACAAATGAGAAATATTTCGAAAGGAAACCCTGTGAATTTGAAGAAACTTGTTGATCGTAAAGCTCGAAAGTTTGTGTCGTGGCTGATTCGTCACAAGATTGATAAGAGACCTTATGCTCACGAAGCACTCATAGATTTTTTCATTAATGAAAATTATTAGAATCAAAATACAGAACGTTACCGACAGAAATGAAACAAAAGTTATCAACGACGAGTTTGCGACGAAAAAAAATTATCATCTAGACTTAGACATTTCATATTCCTGGTATAATAACATGGTATTATTTTGCTGTTGAACTGAGGAAATCACCATAGTCATATTTACTTTTGTATGCATTTTTTGCACGTGTGCCGCATTTTGTCCAACTTATTCATCCATCTGGAAAAACTTGTACAAAGAAAAGTTAGTTAATCCGATAGTCATTGCATGTAAACGTTGGTGAACTGCTCCTCTGAATATAAACGAACTCTAATTTGCGGCAAGTGTTTGACTATGCAGTCGGGCAATTTTTGCCTTTTTTTTCTTGGTTCTTAGCGTAGGTTTAGTCGGTTCATCAAGAGGCCAGGTCCTTCTGTGTATTACGTGCGACGTTAACGTTATTACGAAGAATTCGCAGAGTTCTACGGAGATGAACTATACGGAGATGAGCTATATATAATAGGGATGGATGGGACATTGCATGCGATGTATTTTGTCAGTGTTTATTGGTGCAAGGAATATTTTAAAGATTGTGTGTTTACCGTCATGCTTTGCGTGCTCAAATCAACTTCACACGCCGAAAAATTGAGATTTTTGTCTATAATCCATGAAAATTTGAACCATCCTTGGGTTAATTTGCTTATTTACCCTCAAAATGCAAGACAGAAATATTCTTTGTGACTATTCATGGTTCCTAGTGAATCGCGTTTTAGATCAAATGTTAACAATAATAATTGCAAAGCATGACGGGTGATTAACATTCTTCAATCATTCTTGTTCATCAATGACACACAAACAATCGTGTGTGTTTTTAACAAACTAGGAAGATGGTTAGGGATAATCTGAGAATATACAACTGCGGTCTAGATCTTACTCTTAAAAAATATAAACTTTTTATAACAATAAAGAGTGTGCGAGTCAAACTTTGCGTAAACTTAACTTGTTCCATTTGTATGTATAGGAGCATAGTCAACTGATATACCTAATGGTATACCTTCATAGTCTACTGTGTCCTTTGTAATGACACTTACTGTCTTTTATGATTTTGTAATATAGTATATAGTTTTATAATATAGTAATATCTATATAGATAATTAAAAATAAGAACTATAACCAATCTCTGAGATTTGGGAAAACCAGCACCCTCAATCCTCGCAGTCTTAGCGATTTGGAGCAGTGACCGAGGTTGCATAGCAGAGAGTTTTGATTCCGTAGACGGTCGGAAGCTTCTTTCTCAGTGGTCATACATCATTAAGTCAATCGACCCCTTTTGTTTACTCGGGGTAAAAATCTAATTAATAAATTTTTTTCTTAAATTCTCGCGTTCTCGCGTATATTTTTTGGAAAAATATTCAGGGTCCTTATGCTGGTTGCCACTTGACTCAGTGACGTATCGTCATTTTGGGGAAGGTTTTCAAAACTTGAAATCCTACCGGAGGAAGGTTGAACTATTTTTGCAACTCTGAATCACTTAGAGGCACATTTAAGTTTGCATCCCTTGAAATTTTTAAAAGAGAATAAATCATGATTTTTTGATAGTGGACCACCTTAATTCATATTGAGACATTTAGGAACGAACATTCGATTTTTTGCCGTAATTGACTGCTTGTTAATAATATTCAATACTCGCGTTCAGCGTTATTAGTTTCTACTCAAATTTCTTTTTTATGGCCTGCTAGCCCCCGCCCGCCCCATTGTAGGATTTTTTCTGGCCCCTGAACGTTAAAGATTAATGTTGCATTACTAGAGGCACAAAAACAATCGCATGAGTTATATGAACGAACTAGTATAGGTTGTTTAGTGATAAGCTGCTAAACGCAAGCGCAGTCTTCAAAAATATAAATTATTTAGGCGTTAAACTTCATCCAAACTTGTTCTACTTGTAGCTTTCGTCTGAACAGAATTTGAATAGCAACGATAATCCAAACGAAACTACTAAATAGACGGGTGCGTGGATAACAAAACGAACTCGACAGACGATTCTGATGGCGATGTTCTGAGGATTTAATATAAATCAACGATACTACAGATATAGACTGACAAACACGAACTCGTCGTTGTGATAACACAGTCGAACTAGAAACGATTGTCCGTAGATAATACGACTGGAAACGGACTGTAGATCGATTGAGAATCGACTGGAAATCGATTGAGAATCAACTGGATATCGATTGAGAATCGACTGGATATCGGTTCGAACTAGAATATAACAATTAAAAAAATAGGTACGCAATGCGTACATGTGGGTAGCCTGTAAAACATGATTAACTGCAATATTTTTAGTCTTAATTTATGTTCTAATGCCATAGACAACGCGCTATAGTTAGCTGGTTGAATACAGTTATAACGAAGTCAATTTATTACACAATCTATATATTATAATATTTTATTGTATTAAATACATTTTACGACAGATCAAAACATATATAAAAGCACTTTTACAAGAGATAAGAAATGAAATTTTTTTAAGCAGAATAGGTGAACAGAACAAAAAAGAGAGTAAGGTTCCGGGATGGTGGCACACATCGTCTGATAACATAAAGCTTAGTTTAGAAGGAGAAAAAGAAGGTTTCAGACTTTTTCAAATTATTTCGTTTTGATGTCCCTTGATCAGCATAGCATGTCTTTGTCACATACAAGATTGGTTCTTTTGTTGATAAATCAATGTTATAGTTATGTTAATAGTCAATAAAGGTTAAACGTTATTGTTCCATTAAGATTATACCACTTGTTTGCCAAAGTTTATTGACAATACGTTTCACGATTATAACTGAAGATGATAGCATGATTTCATTGATCCAGTAGGAAGGTACAGGTGGTTTGCAATGTTGATTACAGATAATTATCAGCACCAATTAGCTGGACATAATAGCACCAGTTCGTAGGTCCAAGAACTGCGTGACTTTTTCAGAGTTTAAATTTATCAGTTGACAATATCTTATCCGTGGTAATCAGTCCGACAATCAGTCAACATTGAATGCCATCAATCATCATTGATATAAATGTGTATTGCTCAGTAGTAGTTACCATGAAGGTATGAGTAGCATTTACCAGTAAGGTTACCAGAGAACTTTGTTTTGTTTGGCATTCGTTGCTGCGATGAACAGATTACAGTTGCGGTATGTGGAGAGATGTCTGGAAAGAGGAACGAGGATTTCCGATATATGTTTGTGGTCTTTTTATCTTCGGATTAATTTAGCGTTGATCCACGCGGGGCAACAAGCAACGCTGACATTTTTAAAACTTCTTTGTGATTGTAGCTGATTCAGACCTGTAAAAAGCAAAAACTCGCGTTATCAAAGAAACAAACGCATATGTATAGCTAGTATGCAATACGAATCTATTATTTACCTTTAATTATTAGTGTTTCAGCTTCGACATCGTGTGAATAATTTGAAAATATGCCACCGGAACCTAAAAATAAGAAATGGTCAAATTGCATGAGAAAAGAAAGAAAAAAAACTCAAAATTAAATGCTTACCTTTTGTTAAATTGGAGCAGGCCAATAAATATTGGCCTGTGTTCATCTAACCATGTCAATACTATGGTTGTTCTTGTACATGCTAACGCTATGTCGGACGTGATTACCTCCTTACCTGGGTTCATCTACCATGTCAATACTATGGTTTTTCTTGTAACATGCTAACGCTATGTCTGATGTGATTACCTCCTTACCTTTAGAGAGGCCCAAATTGCTTTGTGATCACTAAAGTAAGTTTCAAGAGTACCTGCCTGGATATCCTCTTCAATCAAATTCGTATACAGATGATCAATCAATGTTCCATTATCTGTTGTAGAACTAGTTATAAGTTGCTCGAGGCCATTGGTATTGATCATAAGATTGTACAGTGATCTTCGTTCTATCTCATCAAGCCAGTTGACATTAAAGTCTCCAATGATTATAACCTGTGGAGAAGGATGTTCCTCCAATGTCGTAGAAATGGCAGCCAAAAGAGATGATAATGCAAGTGTTGGAGATCTGTATATTCCAATTATAATTAGGTCTGGACGTTCGACCATCTTCATAATAGTTACCTCGATCCCATGACAGTTTCTTGCACAAGGATATCCAATAATCATAGGAAGTTTAGAATAAACAGCTGTTCCATGATATGGACGGTTGAGATTTGAAACGTCGTCATTTCTGAATAACTCATGGCCTTCAATTGCGTACATTTCACCAGGATCTTCTTCACGAAATCTCGTTTCGGTAAAAATTAGATATCAGCAGACGTATAATTAATATCTTTTCGTATATCTTCAATGTGTTTGTGCAAAGATCTTGCATTAAGATAGCAAATTTTTAAATCAGTGGGATTCAGCATGTACAACGGAGTAAAACAAAGATCTAATTTATACTCATTTCTCAGTAAGTGCATTTCTTCTACGACTTTAGGATCAACGGAAATCTTACTTTCGCAAAGATCAGTTATATATAGCCCTTCGATTG